GGTATATAAACCGAGCACGCTTCTGCAAATTCCTTTTCGATCCAGTCTCCGAGCTCCTGAAGCTGACCTGAACCAACACGGAAAAATACTATGTTGGAAAAGTAATTGGCTTTTAAAGACATGATTTTAATCAATGGTCTAAAATACAATAGGCTTTTCCTTCATTTATATCAGCACCAAACATGTACATAAAAAAAAACTTCTACACTGATGGGGAAGTGCGTCTGTGGGGGGATAAATTTATATATTTGAAATATTTTAACATTTCACACAACTGGCATTAAATCTTTGTCAACAACTAAATCTTTAGTCATCACTCGTTTTAATGTCATTATCAAAATTCACTGAGGAATCATACACATTTAATATGTGCGTTAAAAATGCTTCGTCATCATCTTTTTTAAGAAGCTTAATATAGAAATTAAATGTAGTGAACATAAAATTCTGACAAGCGAAAGACTTATCTATAAATGGATTCTATTTATATATGTTATATTATCTTGTATCTTAACTTCGAACGTTTTGTATGAAGTATTGTATGAAGTACTTTTTTATTAACAATTTATTGATATGTAAACGATAAAGTTGTGTGCGCTCGCGAGTGTGCGTGTGTGTGTGTGTGTGTGGCTTTTTGTTTGTTTGCTTTTTAGTTTTTTTTGTTTTTGTTTTTTTTTGTTTTTTTGTTGTTGTTTTGTTTCTTTGGTATGTATGTGCGCACGTACGTACGTGCGTGCGTGCGTGTGTGCGCGTGTGTATGTTCTGTCGTGTTTTTTTTAAACTGTTTGTGTACGTATTACAGCATTCTAATCGTTTCTATCATTTATGATTACTAAAAGTCAAGTTTGTTTGTTTTATTTGAAACGCATTTACCACATTTTGTTGTAGAATTATATAACGCGTATGTCTTTTTGAGCATATGCTAGTATTCCGTAACACAACAATGCAAACGTGAGTTTTTACAACCTGTAAGCGCTTAGCAATTAGTCACGGCATTTAACAGATGTAAAACATGTTTTAACTAAAACAATGCCAAAACAATGCCAATGCCATGTGTTTCAACCACTTTATGCTTCATTATATACTTTTCGTTCTTTTTTCTTTGTTTTTCTTCCCCTGCACATTATGTAATCTTTGATTATTGGTCTGTTTTAAGAACATGTGTGAATTTGTTTTGAGTGGAAAGTTTAATAAGCATATTTTTCCGTGACAAAGTAAAGATTTCTAACGTCGCGCCATTCGACTGTCATTAAAACATGCTGAGAAGTTGACAGCTATTGGGGGATGGGATGGAGTAAAGATCAATGCTTATTAATTTTGGAAAGTCAGATTTTGAAATTATCATAAAGGTATTGTTAGAGTACGAGTAATTTTAGACCAGTTTCTTAATTGTGCTTAGTTGAAAAGCATTTCACCTCTGCATGACTAATTTCATTTTAAAACTTTTTATTGGCACTTGCATTTCTCTGTTTTTTGGGTTTCCTTGTTGTTGTTTTTTTAATTTGAAATAACTTGCATACATCTTTTATTGTATAAGAATGTTCTGTCAAAATCATGTGCTTTGTTCGTCTTTAAATCATTTCTAAAATAAGAATTACTCGATCTTGTCACACAGTAAATGTCCATCTTTATCTAAAAAAAAAGCAAATTCACAAAATATATTAAACTCCACTAAATTGTTCACTGTCACTCTATTCTTGTCCAATAACTACATTCATCATCAACGGCTGGCATCATTAACTTCGCTACTGCGCTTATTTTAACAGCGATTTAACGATTTCAGACAATGTTTCTATGAAAACCAATGTAGGCTTTTTCCCTAGTCTAGACAATTGTGATATTTTTAGAGTAAACCCAGGATTGTCGGCTGGAAGCATGCGTCGGCGGCATTTTTTCAAAGAGATCGTTAATGTGGTGAGTACTTCATTCTATATAATATCTATTTTTCAGGTAAATGTAAATTGGGCACCTAAAACGGTTGTCGTATTTTTTTCAATCAACTTATTTCTCTGGATGGGTTTTTTATTTAATTATTATTTATATATTTTCGTTTTTTGTTTTGTTTTTTTGTTGTTGTTGTTGTTGTTGTTGTTTTCTGAGAAAAACTTAACAATGTGTTTAACGTCTAACCGTAAACGATGTATCGGTTCGCGTGTGGGGGTGGGGTGGGGTGTAGTAGGGGAGGGGTATATATAGTATATATTCTCAATGTTTACAAAAATATGTCTAATCATATCCTTCTTTCCTTTTTTCTTATTATCATTATCATCATTATTACAAAATGTATTATCATATTATCATCATTAATGTGGTGCTATTGCTGTCTGTCTTTATTGTTTCCATTGCATAGCGCTGATAAATTTATAGCGCAGATAGTTATATTTAAAAAAAACAACAGATTTTATGAAAAATAGAATGTCATAATATATTTATAAAAATTGGAAAATTTTGCAATAAAAGGGTTGGCTATTTTGTTAAATTATCGATTCTCGTTTGTTTCCAATAACCCTTTTCACCTCGTTTTGTAAAATTTGGGAATATTTTATACTTTTTTTATTTGGCGATATTTGGGATGGTATTTTTTGATATGGGGCAAAAATATATATTACAGATATTGAAATGTTCTTCAAGTAAATTTACCCTTTATCTTTCTGTGGTTTTTTAAAAATTTTTAAAATTTTTAATTTGTTTCCCTTCCAAGAGGTAGTTTTTTGTTACATTAGCCATATGGGGTTAAAAAATCTGAAAAAAACTGCGTCTTTTTTCTCCCTTAAACATGAGTTATACGAAATATTTTACTTTAAAGGGGCACATATTCCTCGACATTATTAATTTTTTTTCCTTTACTTAGAAAGGTCAAAAATGAGATCTGTAACAATTATAAAATCGATTTAGAGAATGTTAACTGTTTATCACCTGAGCAAAATGAAATTATTTGTCATAAAAGTAGCAAAATGTAAACAAAGTAGTATTTTGACTTCCATACAAATACTAAATCACTATTACTGTATCCGTTGCTAAAACGAAAAAGAGCGAAAGGAGTCTCAGCAATATGACCAATAAGTAACATTTTGGGAACTTTAACAGGACCTCAAAAACAAGAAGCTTTTGAAAAATAAAAATGATAACATTTCTGAGGCTTATATAATAACCTTTAACTAAAAATGCCAACGTTGAATCACTGAGAGCAAAAAAATGAAAGAAGTTAAATTGTACTAAATGCCTCATCTATCATATAAAAATGTCGAATGTATATCGGTTGACTTATTTTTTCACAGAAACGTGCGTGTTTTTATTGACATTTACAAAATATTCCCAAAAGGGTTTTTTGAAGACTTACCAATTGTTTTTTTCTTCAAGGTTGACGAATTTTTTAAATGTAGTGGGTTTTTTTAAAACATCTTTATTTATTTAAAAAATCTTCACAACCCAAGCTAATCGAAACATTTTTTTTACAGCTAAAAAGGTCCCGGAAGTTTTTGTTCACGTATCTAAATGTAATCCCCATAGACCGGGGGTCACGAAAAAACCAAACAGTTTCAAATTGAAGGGTCAAAGGAACGATGGCCCCTGCCAGCCCGGGGGAACCCGGCAGGTGGGGACCCATGTGGCCCGAAAAACCCACATTTTGGGTTTTTGTCTGGGGGGGCTCATATTTTCCCTATTGCGGGGCCCTTGTCTTGTCCGCTGTAGCGGGTCGTCTCAAAATTGACTATGCTTTTTTATTTCCATGATTTTATTCTATAGCGAATAAAAGACTGCATCGCATAAAACAAATATTAGACATTACAAGAAAAACATGTATTTTACAAAGGCAAATACAATTAAGAAAAATGCAAAAACATAATATTTAACCAAAGCTATAGCTAGATTTCTATAACGTCATTTTTTTTTCTTTTTGTAGTTTCATGTAGAAATGAATACTTATGAAAGGCCCTTTAAGCCTCAGGAAAGAATAACTTTTTTTTTCTTAGTAATGACAATTGTAAGTTTTAAACGTTAAAATAAGTGTTTTAGAACATGTCAAATACTTTTCCTGTGAGGAAGTAGGCTGAACGTGAACTTATTTTCCATATACAAGAAACAAAATGTATATAAAGTAGTATTTTGACTTCCATACTAAATACTAAATCACTGTAAATGCATGCCAATTGCCAAAAAGTAACAGAAGCAAACGATGGTTCAGGTAATTGACCAATTAGTAACTTTTCGAAACTATAACAGGACATCAAAAATGAGAAGCTTTTGAGGGCATTATTGACCTTTAATTTGAAGATATTTTTTTTTTTTTTTTGGAAAGCAGTTCTTCGCCTCAAAATGCGAAAACACGAAGAGACGACAAAGCTAGACTTTGTCGTCCTTTCGTGTTTTCGCATTTTGAGGCGAAGAAGTACGAAGAAAAATACGACGTGGCGTAAATCAGCCACCATAGGTCTCTCTGTATATACGGAAAGGTGAAAGTAAAATAAAAGAAGATGTTTACAAAATATTATACACATTTCAAATAAACAGCTGGAAATGTAGAGGATTTGTTAAATTAAAAGCAATCCGGCGTAATACATGTATGTGTGTAACATCCGTTACCATGGAAAATTGTATTGTGTCGATATGGCGGGAAATAGTAACTAAGTATAGACTATCTTTGTTTTATTTAACATTTAGCGTATTCCTCATGGGGTCACTGCGTAGGAGTTTGAATATTTGGATGACGGATATTCACGTCTAATGCTCATTTTTTGTACGGTCCTACTAAACTCCTGCAAAGTCATGCAAAGTCAAGCAAAGCAAAGTCAGTTATTTTTATAATTTTATCATTACTTAACATGATTTTAACATTCATGAAATAAATATGTTCTTTAACAAAAATGTTAATTTCAATTAAATTAATTGTTATTTTAATAACGGGGCTCGTGGAATTAAGTATACAGTCAAGCAAAGTCCGTTTATTTTCTATCATTATTTATCATGAGTCGTTTCCGGGTCTAACTAATAGTGGTCTGAAGCCTTACTTTCGATTCGTAACGGAAGCAAGGTGTACGCATGCGTGGTATTTGTTGACAAGTTTAAACCGAGTGAGTGTTAGAAAAATGCAACAGATCTGTCAAATGTGAGACAAACAAATCACAAGGTGATAACTTTTCACCATATTGACTTTTGAATTATACGTCTGTCCTTTTTGCAAATGAATGTTTGGTACTGATTTCCTCTCATCTTTAAATAAAACACACCCGGGACCTTTTACTCTTGTTCAGACTTGCAGAATAACTGGGTGGGGTAATTTAAGACAATATACACTATAATACAGTATTGCTAAATCGGATAGACTGAGGTATGTTAAGAGACAGTATTGTAATTTAGTGTAATATTATCTGGAATAATTGAAAGGGTATATTTTTATAACATGTTCAAGACAAGACCTATGATTCGATATCGGAGATAAATAGATGGATTCCTAATTAAATAGATAGATTAATCATTTAATGTCTCAAATTTTTGTTACTAGATATGTTTGTTCGTTTTTATATAAATGTTGAAGCCCTTTCTAGGGAATTAAACATGCACTTGAATATATATAACATTTAAGCGGTAAAATGTGTACTTAAGTAATTTTGCACTGTTAATGTTTGTTTTGTTATAGGGCACAACAATGAATTTGAGTTTTCCTGGAAGCCCTAGTCCCTTGGGACGGCCTCCATTATCACCAGGGGCACAAATGCCAAAGCTTGTGCAAGAGACTGAACTTCAAAAGTTACTGGCAGATGAGAAAATGAGAAGTCAAATGCATAAAACAAATTATGAACAACTGAAGGAAGAAAATAAGAGGTATATTTAACACATTTGTCAGAATAGGAGATAATTGTTTATATCTTGCATTTATCCAAAATATTGAAGCATGCTGTGTTGTGTGTTTGCCTGTTTGGTCAAGTAAACATTATCTATCATTGTACAAAAGTTTAAATATGACAAAAAATTTACCATGACGTTTATAATATTTTATTAAATAATATTTACTTTTATTAAAATGAAAATCTTAACCTTTATCATTTGTTTATTGAACAGGTTACAAGATGAATACCACAGTTTAGAAGAAGAAATAAGAAGGACAATAGAAGAGAGTAAGATTGTTCAAGAAAAATACAAGTCTATGTATGAAGATAGTAGACGTGAAGTGGCTGATAAACAGTCAATGCTGGAGGACCTTCGAAATAAGGTAAAAAACTGTAGTAACTGCCACTCTCTATAAGACTCCTACAGTGCGGTTTCAGGCTTGGAAGTGTAGGGATCTCAAATTTGAAAATCCTAGCGAGAACCCTGCACATATATATAATCAAATCCTTCCCTGTTATTATGCTTGAGTTGACATTTGTCAATTGATGTTTAATTGTGAATTGTTGCATTCAGCAAAAGTCTGTAAATAAAGATAACAATATCATTCATTGGTAAATGATGAAGTTAACAATTGTTTTTATATGCACATAGTAATACAAACTGCGACATCTTTATTTTGAATTGCCCATACACAGCCTTATATAAATTCATAATTAAAAAATTCCTCAGTGTATTATCATATAGATAGTGATTATATCTTTCATGTGTATATGACATTGTATATTGTATAGACGGTAACACCACAAAAGTTGGACATGATAAAGATGCAGGTGAGTGATGAACTGGAGAGATCATACAGGGAAAAATATCAGCATCAAGAGAGCGAGATTGAGGAACTTCGCACCATGTGTAACAAGTACAAGCATGAGTTGTTCTTCCTGAAATCAGAGTACGAGCACGAACAAGCCGAGAGTCGACAGATTCTGGCTGAAATGAAACTACAACATGATGCTGAGGTCAGTTTTATATTTATAGATATATCATAGAAATATTACCGGTATATTAAAATATTTTTTGCGTTTTCTCAAGAACTGTGGAACTTGTGGTAAATGTTAGTTTTATGCCTGGAAAACCTTGTACAAAGATTGCATTTTAGATTATAGTCAATTGTATGAGATTGAAAAAGACATAAAGTATGTTTTTGCTTATGTTAATGAAGACTTTAGTAACTGGTAGTTGTTAAGAAGAAATCTGCCTAAAATAAATATGGTCTACTTATGTTTTCATTAAATGACTTCATTCTATCCAGTTTTAGTTTTATAGAGGACTAAAGGTTATTAAAGGGAATTTCTGCATAGATATAACTTTAAATAGGTAAAGTAAAGAATACTAATGATTGCTTAAGTAGATGTTTTTATACTAATGTCTTGTAATTTGATTTGTGATTCAGATTTAGATTTGTGATAATTGAAATCTTGCCATTCACATTCAGTAACTGCAGTGTTTTTTTCTGTTAATAAAAATAAAGGTGACAAACTTGAGGAAAGAACGAGAATCAACTATTATCAAGATACAGTCAGAGGGATGTCAAGATTCTCAGAGGGTACGGGTACTTCAGCGGGAAAATGCTCAGCTTCATCTAAAAATAAAAGGCCTTATGACGGAGATGGATGAAGTTCGTGCCAACCGGGAAAAGATCGGTTCTGAGTCCGAGAGTCTTGTGCGTATTCAGGGAAAACAGATTACAGAGCATCAGGCTACCATAAAATCGTTAGAGGTGAGCATTTTCAGGATATAAATTGATCAATCAACTTTAAAAAAAACAAATTGATGAAAACTTGCATGTTGTGATAATTACAGTTAAATAAATATTCTAGAATGCTTTCATTTGTTTAAAAAAACATTTTTAAGGCATGCATATTATACAGTACAAAACATGTTGTCAATAGCAAAAACATCAATGAAATGTTTTTTCTTTAACATTTTGCACTGTTAAACATTTCATATTTGCAACTTTGATTCTTTTTCTCCATTAGCAATAGACTATTTTTCTTATGTATGTATTTGACTTCCAAGATGGTAAAGTTTTCTGTGTAGTGTACTGTTCAGCATAACCTTTCTATAAATAGAATTTTGTGTGCAATGTTACATTTCTAAAAATAGGCTGAAAGAGAGTCATTACGAAGACAGGTGGAAACAGTGTCACGAGATTATTCAGGAACAGCAGATATTCACAATAAACTGACAATGCGTATACATGAGCTGGAGAAAGAGAATATGATATACAAGAACAGGGCGGAGGAGGTCACACACAAGAGTAAAGTTGACCTTACTAATCTCAAGATGGACATGTTAAAACAGAGAGGTGACCTGGAGAGGGAGAGAGATAAACTGTCCAATCTTGTTGAAGGTAAATGCCATATTCATTGTTATTGCCTCTTCTAAAAATCTTCTACCCACTTCACTACATGTGTTCCTCGGCCATATAATTTGAAGTACAAGCTGTTTATAAGGGCAAAATGACATCAACCATTCAAATGTTTTTGTGTCCGCCACTTTTAGTTCTTTAGAATTTTCACTTTTACTTTTCATTTTGAGCTCAGATTATGTAAGTGTGCCTATGCTGAGGTAAGTCAGGGATGCTGATATTGTATTATTTTAATCTAAAGAATCTCCGAAAAATTTTGAACTTACTATGTGACAAAAGATGTAAAAAAATACCATCATTGACATGTAAATGTTATTTACATTCAAAAGTAGTTCTTGTGGTATGTTTGATTAATACATGTATGCAAAGAAATGGTTTGTGACACTGGAACAAATTATGTGATAAAATGTTAATGTCATTTCAGATTTACAAGTGAAGTTAGACATAACAAAGCATGCAGTACATCAGCAGGATCAAGCGTTGGTGGACAAGGAGAGAGACTGTGTTCGTAGAGTACAGGCTGCCAGGGAAGAGGAGTTCGAAAAATTCGCCAAAGTTGAAAACGAGAAGTAAGTAAACAATAACTAACAAATCATGTACTCATTTATTAACACATTGTGTCAATCAGTACATTATGATAATTTTGACATACTGGATATTGGATGTTTACTTTGCTGTTCCTAATCATGGAAGCAGTACTTACAAAGAGCAATGCTTTGCAGAGTTTGACCTGGTTTACAGAAGGGCTGTTAGTAATGTATTATATCTGACATGAGCAACATAGAACCTATGATTATGAAATGTAATGGAAATGGTGTCATATAAAAATTAAAGATAATGGTTGAATGTGTTATTTAAAAATGATGTATATATACAACTTTACATCATGACATCAGCTATGTCATGCGGCAAGGGAAAATCATGTAGTGATTTGTTATTTTAGCTTTGATGAAATTTGATGATTTTTCACAACTTTACATTGAAATCATTACCTAAATGTATTTCTTTACATGTACATGTTATGCTTATAACAGTTAATTCCTGTTCCAGCATTAAATTTTAATCATTCCATAGTTTTATTTTCAACTGTTAGTGACTTTGTTTATTATAACCCAGATGTCCACCTCATCCATGAACAGTCATGCTTTAAGGCAGCCTATAATTCATGCAGACCTGGGGTAATCATTAATCGTAATCATCGATTTTTTAATTGATTACATGATTACACTGTAATCATCATGTAATTGATTACCTTGCTCAAAATTGATTACATTAATTGTAATTAATCAATTACAGCTTAAATTCAGTCTGTAATTATGATTACAATTTGATTGATATTGATTACTTTCAGATTTTTCATGAAACTATTAAAATTCAAATGATTTATTTCACATGTTACAATTAAACTAATACTCCTTTATAATCATAAATGATCTTTAATCACAAATTGTAGAGTGTAAATTGATTGATTTTGATACACAACTAAGCCACATTTTTATTGAATAGAAAGAATGTTCTCAATTGATATCCCTATTTGAAGTAAATAATAGACATTGTCATAATAAACAATGATTGTTCATAAAGGTAGTAAAATATCAAGTGAGATGTTTTAAGACATCACTCACAATGAAGAAATAAGTTTTAATCCATGCACTGCCATTTTAACCAAATTCTAAGTGAAAGATAGACATCATTTTTTGGCTGGTCTTCTAACCAAAATGTCAAAACATTGGATTTTTGATGTCTTTGAATTTCCGAAAGAGATCTCTGGAAATGTCACAGCACAATGCAAATTGTGCCCTAAAAAGATTAATGGGCAGTTGGGCACACAAAGTCACGTTCCAATTTCATTACCCACATAAAGGTATATTAAATTTTGTTTCACATATTTTGGTTAAAGATTCAAAAGATTCAAAACCATGTTTTAAAAGTTTCAAACAATGTAGATAACTTCTTTACTCTGTATATTCTAGAGTTTATGTCAGATGCATATTACCATATTTTAATTATATGCAACAGTTATTTTGTAAGGTTATAGACAATGTGTCTATATCATAATGGATACTGTTGTACCATTGAAGTGTTTGTAAAAAATTGATAATTTCTTTGTAAAGCCTATTGTCTCTTTGAATTCCCATACAAACATTTATTGTTTTCACACCTGTTTTAACACCTGTATACAGCATACTGTACAATTGACACTTTTCAAAATTTCTGTTGTGGAGAGTTCATTATGGAACCTACACCAAGAAGACCGAGGACCAGAAAACCAATGTGAAACCACCACCCTCTGTTTCCGATTGCCCAACAACACCAGTTGTTGCAAAGTATGCACCTTCTCAAAATAACAGCACACCACAAATGTCTTTGTAAAGTTTGTTGCTGGTGGCTTGCTTCCATTGTCAACTATTGATAACTACATCTTGTAAGAGTTTCGTGAACTTTGCAAATCTTCCGTCCTGATAGATGCAGTCTGACTGACAGATGGTTTCATGAACTTATGATGCTAAAGTGCAATGCTAAAATATGATAAAGTGATGTGACAGTAACTAAAAGTGTGTTAAATTGATGACTGTTGATGAGCTGGAAATCCTTTGTATATATAATGTATATAATATATATAATGTATATATTAAATAGCAATAAGAAACTTTTGTTTATAGTTATACATTGAATGTAATCAATTATCAATCAATTACTTTCTTAAAGTAATTGTAATTTAATTGATTACAGAGGCAAGTCTGAGTAATCAATTGTAATCAATTACAATAAAATCTGAAAGTAATTGTAATTAAATCAATTACTGATCAATGTAATCATCCCCAGGTCTGAATTCATGGTCTAACTTTTTAATAGTTTTCTGAATATTTCTTGACCATTAGGTTTAGTTGTTTGGCACTAACTTTGTGTGTCAAATGCATTTTTATATTTTGATATTATACAGATTGGAACTAGAAACAAAACTTCAAGAAAACGAAAGAAGAAAAATAGATGAAGATGCACACAGACAGGCAGAACGAGAGAAGATGGAAGAACGAGTAGCAGTTGCTATGGATGCCAAAGATTCGGCAGAAAAAGAACTTCTAGTCATACAGTAAGATAGCAGAGTATCTAAGTATATATTATGATAAAATTTGCATGTCGTTCAGACCTGGTTTTAAAATGTACCTTAATAGCTAGCTGTTAAAAGTGGTCTTTTTAACAAGTTTCAGTAATTTTCAAAATTTAAACCAGTAATACTATATCACATTACTGAGTGCATATTCTTTAAAGGTGGTAAGTGTGATTGAAAAATAGTAATTTATAGTTTTTGTGAGGTTACATTGTTTCTTTCATTGATATGTTAAGTGTTTTGAAAATAGTCAAACTTTATGGTAATTGGGAAAAAAAAATAGTTTGGTTGTGTCCCTTTTCGTTGTTACTGTTTGTTAATTTGTGTTGGCACGAAGAGCTTAGATGTGATGAATGCTTACAGCTTAATTCAACCACTTTTGAATCCACTTCCTGGAACTAGACAGTACTTGCGTCAAACAAGGCATCCTTGTCGTGACCCGAACAGGGCTTAAACCCATGATCCCTGGGTTGAGAGGCAGACACCTAAATCTTTTTACTATTTCTTTCATTAAGAATTCTTTTTAAGATATATAGAAAGTAATTATTGTCTTTATAAAAAATATTTCAGAACTAAACTTTCACATCAACAGTCAGTGTTAGATCAACTAGAGAGAGAAAGAACTGAAAACTCTGAACTGAAAAGTAAAATTGTGAAACTTGAAACTGAACTTAGTAGTTACCTAGGGAACGAACATGACATGACTGATGAAAATATACGAATGAGAAATCAAGTAGAACTTTTACGCGAAGAACTCAGGTTAACGAAGGAACAATATAACAAAGCACATGAAAATCATGAGCGAATATTGGCTCAGTCAAAATCTGCGCTAGTTGATGAGAAGACGAGGTTAGAATTACGGGTTCAAGAATTAGAGGATAAGTTAGCTGATTCTACGAAGAAATATGCAAAGGCTGTCTCTGTTTATAGAAAGGTAATAACTTGTAAGAGGAGAATTTAGAGTGTTTCTGATTTTTTTTTACTTTGTCTGAGAAATTAAGATGGTAATTGTTCATGAAATCATGAAAGGATTTAGGAATCATCAATCATATGATGTGAAACTTCTTTTCAGTGTTTATATGCTTTGGTATGATTATTTCATGAATGCAAATGTAGAAATTGAAATTTTCTGTAGAAACACAATTTTTTCTTTGATTTCTGTAATAATAGAAACTGAGATCGCTTTTGATTCCTTGTTTATTAAAACTGATATCCCTTTAAGTTTTGATTTCTTGTTTGTTAAAACTGATATCCTTTTTGATTTCTTGTTTGTTAAAACTGAGATCCCTTTTGATTTCTTGTATGTTAAAACTGAGATTTCTTTTGCTACCTGTTTTATAAACAAGAAGATCTTTTTGATTTTTGTTATGTAGGAAATAAAATTTCTTTCATTTCTGTTATGTATTAACCAAGATATTTTTATATCAGATTTTGTAGAAACTGAGATTTCTTTTGTCTGTTAAAAAAATCCAGATTAGCTTATAGTACTTTAGTTACTTGAATGAAATCTTCCGTTATTTTCCAGTACAAAAGCCGAAGCACTAAAGTTATAGAGAACTTGAAGTACAAGGCACAGATCCTAGAAGCTAAAAGAGAAGAGTTGGAGCTAGAGAAGAAAGCATTACAGTAAGATATTGTTAACTTGTCCATGCTAGTTACACAGTTTCTTCTTATCTTTGCTGAGCAAAAATAGATGAGCATTTCTTATGTATTCATTGATTGTAGCTATTATTTTTTATTGTATTAGATGAAATATTATTTTGATTACATACAGACTTGCTAAGAAACTTTTTTAGAGCATTAATAGCTGTTAATATTATATCGCAATATCTATTTGCAAGAAATCCCTCTATGTTGGTGTCATTGGAGGTAATTTAGAATATGTTTGAAAAAAACATTACTAATATCATTGATAGTAGTGGCTTTTTGATTACAAAGTAAGCTTAGTTTTCATTTACTAAGTTCTTTCAAGTGAACAGCTTAACTTTAAATGTAGCAATAATCTCATGGTTTAACAACATGGCCTCCTCTCTAAAGCACTTAAAAGTCCTTCCCATAGTGGTTTTGCCATAAGTTGTGCAGTGCTATGCATAATAATTTTATTAAGCATGTTTTCTGAAGGAAAAATCTGGTTATTACAATGGTGTATGTAATTGGCTGGACTGTTGGGTGGGATAAACAATTTCTACTGTGTACAACTCTTTATGTTCTTTATAGGGGATTTCACTTAGATTTACACTAAACTATTGTCAACAACTGCTCCTGAACATATCAGGGTTTCGTGATTTGATCATTTTTGGCAGGATCATAGCGTTTTGTTAGTTTTCTTAAATTTTGTATTATTGGCAGAAAAAACATGTTTTTTTTATCTAGAACAATAAGAAAAAAAACAAAACTTTTTTTAGGTCATGCGTACCTCAGGACACATACAATAATCTAAAGAAACAGTTGAAGGACCTCCAACGTAGACATACAGAGTTCCGTAAAGTCATTGTAACACAGGGTGTCCAACAAATACCTATCGGGGATATGTCATTTGCTTCAGTTAACCTAGATGGCTCAGTACTGCCTAACTATAGCTTCAACGAACAGGTAATTTAGCTTGTAAATTTCTTATTACTGTAAAATCAACAAAATTTTGTAGGGAATTAATTTTTGCAGTTTCATTAATCTGCTACAGTAAATTTGATCTTGAATAATATTGAAATTGTTTTTTTCTCGTATAAATTATTGAGACATAATTATTGTAATGGCTTTATGATCGCAGAATAGTTCAAAAATATTTTAAGTTAGTTTAAATAATATAAAGACATAGAATAAATTTAGTAGTCTAGATTAAATATAATCACCAAGAACAAACTTTTATGTAAAACACAGAAAATAATAGCAAAATTATATGCCTGCAAAATGAAATGATTTTACAGTAATATTTCTTTTGTAAAATGCGTGATTGAATTTTGTAGACACAGATTTTCCAGCACCCGTTTTTCACTCACATTCATCATAATAAAACTTGCATTTATATTTTAGAATAATGAACTTTATTTGCTAGAAATTACACATTATATTAGTAATAAGCTAAAGTTTTTACATCCCACCACTTACCTTTGTAATTTGATATCCATGTATATTGTATGTAAACAGAAATGTACCAGAACAAATTATCCCGCTGCTATATTTTGTAGGTTTGGCAATGATTTTGTACATGTCGTATTCATTTACAATTAAATAAACTGACACATTTCATTCATGTTATCTTTTTAATCACAATACATTAAACAATGATTTAACAATTCACAGGCAGACTTTCATGTGTATAAAGTTATATATCTGCTGCCTGTAGTTATCAAAGATATTATACCAATATGAAAGAAACAATACATGTTTTTTGTATTTTTTCTTGAAAGCTAATTATGTGTGCAGAAAATAATTGCTAAACAGTTAAAATCATACATAGCAGTATAATAATTTGTTCTGGAACATCTCATTCTGTTTACCTACAATATTCATGTGAGTTAAATAACAGAGATATTGTATGGTACAACCTTTTTGAGGATTACCTGAAGAAATTGGAAACAACATATGTGTATCGTTTATATAAGTTTTACAAAAACATTTCATTAGATATAAGTTCTATCATAGGGACCATCCTAACTAGTAATTACATATTGTTTGGGCACCTGTATCAACTATATTACCTATACTGCAGTCTATGTTTCATTGTTCATCAATTATCTTCATATATTTTATAATTATAGGCATGGGTAAGTTGTGAAACCTTTATTCACCAGTTATATATATAAATTTATATATTCCTTATTGTTTTGTAACAAGACTTCGTTAATTGTGTTCTCTCCCTTTAATCCTCTCTGTACTAACTATACGTCAAGCATGTTGGGTCTAGTTATTTAATTAACATTTTTCTGCCAATTATAGCAATTTCTACCTGATGGCATATTCAGAAAATAGGTTTTATGTACCTGTCCCTTTGATGGCGATGATAACATGTATATCCAGGTTAGTCTGTACATCTCAACTCTTGTCTGTTTGAGAAGACTATTTCTGCTTATGAATTTGACAGTTTTACTTGTTCATTTTAAATTCAACAAAGTCAGCATTAAAAAGTTCTGAATTCATAGAAGGGCTAGTCTATTAAATACAGAATCAGATATGAAGGGGCAAAAAAAAGTGTCATAAAGTGCCTGTATATTAAACAAAAATATGTAATCACAAGGAAATAAGCTGATATCATTATGGGAAAAGTATTATAATGGTAATGGAAGATGATGTATTAAAAAAAGGTTTATTATACATGTCAGAGTATTAATCAGTAGATATTTCCCTTTTGATTCTATAAACACACCTGACTTGTAGAATTGTAGACAATGCCTTTAATTTTCTTATGTTTAGATTTGTGTTCCTCGTGGTTTTGCATTCTTTTATTACTTTAACTTATCTTAAAAAATTGGCTTGGAATTATAACTACTAAAAGACAAATGACAGTTTTGATTACTTGATCATACATGTATGTATGTAAAGTATTATGTAATATAGTCTGCCTGCTTACCTTGAGTTCGTAATTAAGCGGTTTTAGGTTCGATCCTCAAGCCAGGGGTAAATTTCTCCATGACAATTTGATAAGGGACGTTTAGTCTAATGGTCATTTGTCTCTCAGCACTGATTCAGGTATAATGTGGAATATATAGTTGGTCAGAGTAATATTAATGCATTTTACTGATTAGATATTTTGGAAAACTGGTTAGGTGGACCAACAACTGAGATATGACCAAAAATGTTGTAAAATTGGTGTAAAATACCTGACAAACAGGCATAGTTACAGTTTTGAAAATGACTACTTCAATATGTGATTGATGATGAATTATTTGCTAAAATATCAAAACGTTGTCTTCTGCTCTATGGTATATAGAAATATACTCAAATATTGGCTTTTGCTTTCAGATATTTTGAAATGTAAAGGTATATGAAGAAACTATATCTATATATACATAAAAAAGATATATAAAATGATTTTGCTAACATCTTTGTATATTGTAATGTCCACTGTAATAATCAGAAATGTCTTTTGCTTTTATATTCTGTGCTTTCTTTGTTAAATATATCAGATAACAAAGTGATCACTTGAATAATTGCCATCTGTGAACTTACTACAGCATACACATATATATGGTATTTCATATTCCAGTAATAGTAGCCTTGTATTCTAATGGTGACAAAAAAATGGGGACCACATATGGTGACATCAAATTACAATATACATTGTATATAGTCTTTGTATAAAAGTAAGGATCACATATGAAATGAAGACAAAATTGCTTTGGATAAAAGACAGAAATATCTATAGAGAAACTTTCAACAGGTCAAATAAGGAATTAATTCAATATTATGCCCTTTTATTTAGAAGTTAAAATCAAATAAGTTATTTGTTACTGAACCTGAACCAGTTAAGAAATTTTCATATCTGAATAACAAAAATGATTCAGTGTAAGTTAAAGAATGTTAATCTTTGTCATTATTAGGTTTTGACATTTTATGTAGATGTATTTCACATAGCAATTATTACCTTCCCTGGTTGCTGTTCTGGGGGTCATTCCAAATATGCGATAAATGCTTAAGATAAGATATAGATCTCTTATAATTCTTTCATCTTCATGAAAACTGATAAAAATCTTTAACACAATAGTTTAATCTGATTAAACAATATAAAAATATAATGTACTTAATGTACATGATATTCCTGTCTTGTTAATGAGAAGAAGTTGTCTTATTCTTGAATAAAGTTTACACACACTTGTGTGTAACACTACTAAAACACGTGCTTAATCAGAAATGTATCAAACAAAGTTAATTCAATGACTGATAATTTTAATTAGATTTCTTCTTAAATTTTGAAGATATCTGCTAAGAATAAAGAACAGTAAGTTTGTATATTGTTATATTTTATTTTCGGACACTTATGGTTTATTTTATGATTTTATGATGTTATATTTAAATATAATTTATTTAAATAAACCCCATAACTATCCTTATTTAATGTCACTGATCACTGTGTGAATAGAATGTATGCACTGACATGATAGAAAACAGTTTGAAGTATAATAAAAACAGATTATTTTATGTTTAGAATGGACATCAAAGTCCTTATCTCCACTGATATTTAGTGTATTAAGTGATTATCATATATAATTGTACTCCAGTTTCTTGTTTTATTTGTTTCCATGCATGTAGTTTGATTTTCCCCATATTAAGCATGCAAAAATGAATACATTATACACTTGCATATTATTGTAATGTTTAAAGGCGGTTCTGAAATAAATCAAAATTAAAGATTTTGAAAGTGTAACACAGTTTAATAATAACTTCACCATATACTATTTTAGCATATTATTAATTTTTTGATATTGATTAAAGTTTTAATAGCAAATCTTTGGACTCAAGTGACCTTTGTAATATATGATTATGACAACAGTTATACCATGAATTAACCAAATAAGTTAATTTTCCCAATGTTTATGCTTTATTTGTAGGAAAAAAATGAAATTTAGTTTTTTTTTATTACAGGAAAGAAAACATCAAGAAGATCTGAAATTGTTGCGCCAACGTTTAGACCTACTTGACGATAATCAACAACAACAACTTGACGAGTTTCAGGAAATCGCCCACAGCACACTTCGTAGTACCTACCATGAGGACATCGAAGACACCAGTAAAGAAAAGATAGATATTGAAAAAGCTACATCACTTACACCAACCTAGCATTAACTGTGTACTTAAATAGGCAGGGAAAAATATTTGATTGTTAAAATGTGCATCTGTATTTATTGTGAAACTGAAATTCTTAAATACTATGAGTATATAATTTGGATTTTCTGTTAAACAGTTCCCATGATATTCATTGCCAGATATTGTATCTGATTGGCTCATTTTTAAAATTTAATTAGTTGTAAGCCAATCAAAAAAGTCTTGAATGGCAGAAAATTGTCTGATTGGTCGTTTATAAAATGCTGTTTGTAATTGGCCAATCAAAAATAAGTTGAATGTCAGAATTTTTCTGATTGGCCATTTTGAAAAAAAAGTGTTTGTTATTAGCCAGTCAAAAATAAGTTTTGCATTTAGACTTGTCTAAAATCTTGAAAATCTTGTCTCAATGGTTATTTTTGAAATGACAATATTAACAGCCAATCAAAACTCAAATGTATCAGACAATTGTTTTAGTTGAGGCTGTTTTTTTTTCTGAGATTCATCTATATTGCTGATGCTGAACTTGAGTTAAATATGACCATGCATTTGTTTGATATTTAAATTGTTTTCTTTTGATGATCTGTATAGTAATTGTCAGTTAAAAAAGGTCATGATGGTTATTTGGTTATTTCCTTATTACAATGTTGGGTCATGGATACATATACTGCCATATATGCTAGTGGCATAGAACAGCTAAAAATTTTGATTTAATTAGAGGTTTCAAAGCCTTTTCTTTAATAATCTGCTGAAAGATTTTATTGCAATATTTCTTTCAAAGAAGTGACAATTTTCAGGTTGTTAAACTTTTTATTTAGTTTTCATGCATGTAAATGTATATATGCACTGTTAATAGTTTAATATTTCACATGTACTGTTTCTGTGATATAATTTTAGTTGTGTTTGACCATGATTTCATAGCTCTGTTTGAACATGATTTCATAGTTCAGTTAGACCATGATTTCATAGGTTTTTTTTTTACCATGATGTCATAGTTCTGTTTGAACATGATGTCCTAGTTCTGTTTGAACATGATTTTCTAATTTTATTGCATTTGAAACACTAGAATTTTAGTTGATGTTGTAAACAGTTGTTGATTTCTTTTAAAGATTTTGATATTTATATATTGTGCTACTGAGATTATTTATTTATGGTTATGAGTTTTGGGGTGACAAACATTTGTGATCGTTTTGATTTGGTATATATTCATTTTGCATATCAGACTTGGTTTTAAAATATGTTTGTTTAACTTAGATGATTCACATTCAAGTCTTGTTTTCCTGATTATCAAGTTTTGAAGCCATATGTGGAAACATAATGTGGTCTTTGTAGGATTTGTACCCACATTTGAGCCGAGTCATGACAAAACCAACATAATGGGTTTGCGACCAGCATGGATCCAGACCAGCCTGCGCATCCGCGCAGTCTGATCTGGATCCATGCTGTTCGCTATCAGTTTCTCTACTTGTTATAGAGTTTGTAAGCGAACAGAATGGATCCTGATCAGACTGCATGGATGCGCAGGCTGGTCTGGATCCATGCTGGTCACAAACCCATTATGTTGGTTTTGTCATGGTGCGGCTCATTTCTGAGGTTAAAAAGGCTTCAAACATGTACAATCCATTATGCAACATTCTCCCTATCTATGCTGATACTGAAACTGAGAATTCATAACTGAATTTTTGGTGCAGAAAATAAAATGGGGGATTTTTAGTCAAATTTGCTTTAACTTTATTATATTTGCATAATTATGAGTGACAAATGTGTAATTCAAGTTTTCATCAAGTTTTGAAATAAATTTGTCCAAATAAGAATTTTCAAAATACTTAATTTATAAATACTAATATGAAATTATTAAATATTTTTTATAAAATAAAACTGAAAGTTTAATGTTAATTTTTTTGTTGTGAACTTAAATGGTATGTTCTAACTTGCTTTGAGAATATGTTAAAATTTAGATATGCTGTATTTTGTTTTTCTTTGTTTTGTGTATTTTTTTTCTACATACGCAAACGAAAATATAGAAATGTAAAATGTATTTCAAAGATATGTAAGTTCATAGTTACTGTCTATGGTTGTGATTTTAACATTCTTTTTTATTGTTTATTTAATTCTAATGATGATGAGGTTTATTTAATGGTTTGGTTTATTAATTTACATTGTATTAATGGAAAAATGTTACTGAACTTTTTTTACTGTCATTTTCAATGTGTTTAATTGTGACCAATAATAACCATAAGTGACTTAACTGGTAATAATGCTTGGTTTATTCCGCCAGTTCTGTGTACAAATCTGTACAGACAGTATGACAAAACACAATGCTGTTGCCACACAGTTTTAGTGTTTTGATATTGGAAAAATACATTGTATCAAAATGATAGCAGGACACAAAAATTATCTGAGCCGTGTCACGACAAAACCAACATAGTGGGTTTGCGACCAGCATATATCCAGAACAGCCTGCGCATCCGCGCAGTCTGATCAGGATCCATGCTGTTTGCTATCAGTTTCTCTACTATATATAGGGTTTGTAAGCGAACAGCATGGATCCTGATCAGACTGCGGGGATGCGCAGGCTGGTCTGGATCCATGCTTGTCGCAAACGCATTATGTTGGTATTGTCGTGACGCGGCTCATATTAGGTTAGTTGGGTAAGCAGATAAGAATGTCTACTCATCAGAAATTTAAGACATAATACTACTGTGACAAATGTTGTTGTAGCTCTTGTAAAACTTACCGTCTTTAACAAATCTTTTTGGTTTTGGTTATAGTATTTAAGGTGCTATCGTAAGTTATAACACATCAAATATGTTCTTACCATGCTAGCAGCTACGAGTTTTGAATTTGCTGTATTGAATCCTCTTAATATAACATGTACAATAAATCTGAAGACTAGAGTATTGTGCCAACTCAATACTTGTATATTCTTGCTGTAATTGTATATTGAGGCAAAAGATTACTTCTACATATAAATTGCAAGGTTTGTGCCTTATAGAATATGATACAGATGTAATGTAAAACATGGTACATGTATTTTATTTATATATCTACATAAACAGGGAACTCTTGTTCTTTTAAACCCTTTGCTTCCAAAACTTTTGTCAACTTAATACTTTAATCATATACCATTTTCTCAAAAATTGGAGAAAAAAATTGGTTAATGCCAAACAGTTTGTTACATGACAGGAAGCTAAGTTACTTGGCCTGGTCTGGTACCAAGCTAAAGCCATTGTGATCGCTCTCAGAAGGGAAAAGGTTAATATACTTGAAGCAATAACATACAGATTTGCCAACACCTTTAAAGGGACTCCACTCAGGTTTCTTGCCATAATGTAACTGGAAATATAGATTTGTGAATCATTTGATGTAAGAACAGACCAACACTTTAAATTCAAATCGGACAAAGAATGTCACATAAAATCAATTTTAAATTTAAATTTGAGTATATTTTTGTGTTATCTTTTGCATATTTGTTCATTTTAAATGTCCTATTAAATCTATGTAAGAATTTCAAATTTAATGTTTTTGGACCTCAGTGGAGCTCATTAGTTACTTTTTTTTGTATTAAATAATAATATGATGTACACAAATGTACCTCTAGGTTGTCTTTGACTAGTCTATGCCATTAGTATAAAGTTATGCCAGAAATGGTAAAATCTGACCAGAGTATATGGACTTACTGTTGGATGTTCAATATTATCTATTTGATATTTGTTCTACTTTATATAATAACTAGCAGTTTGAAAGTCAAAGCTGGGCATACCCTTACTTGGCTAAGTCAAATACCACTTTTGCATCTTTTGTAGTGAATACTTGCATTTTTTCAATCCGGATATATTTATACAATGTACGCTGAAAAAACTTAGGTTTTCTTGCATTGTACTTCAATTGAAAAATGGCTTGAAAAGACAGACCACTTCCAGATGTTCTTTCAGCAGGATGATTGTTTAAACTGTCTATACAAGTTTAATATGTTTGTTTTTAATTGTTGCCGATAGTAATAAAACTATTTTTCTTTTCTCATATACGTAATAAAGGGAAGTAATAACAATAATAAATTAAAAAGTTCAGTAATTTGGTTCAGGAATTAAGTTTAATATGTATTATTATTATAGTTTAGCATTTATAAACAAGAATTTGATCTTGGTAATGTTAAATGTTTAATTTGCTTGATTTATAAATGATTTTATACCGTATAATTTACGATGGTGACAAGATTGTGACATTAGAATATTCTTGTATAACTTTATATAATGTACTCTGTAGAGTATTTCTTTGTTAAATCATTAAATATAGCAATACTTATTTTATGCTATTGTGTTTTATTCTTCCCCTTTGTGTTGCCCACTATGCTATTGTATTTTATTCTCCACCTTTGTGTTGCCCACATGATGATTATAACTTATTAAACTCTTTGATGGTGTATGCTTCCAAACATTTTCTCTACACCAGTGTGATTATAATTACGATAAGGAACTAAGTCTTCCAGTTGGTAGTGATGTATAAACGGCCACCGGGGGTCTACTTAATACATCCAAAGATGGAAACTAAACACGTGATGTGACTCGAGGAGTGCCAGTGTTACACAAACAAGAAATGTGTCCATAGCCACAATGCACTTGTGTCCAAACTTCATTTGCTGTCACAATTTTTACAATAATTAAGTGTTATATTAATAGCAGTATATATAAAAGTATTTTAACTAATAAGTTTCATAAGTCTTTTACTATCTCTAATAGACACAATTCATGTGTCACTGTGACCTTGGCCTAATGACCTGGACATCGATAGGAATCTCTTACAGGTCATGGATCATTTCCCTACAAGGATTTATAAACTATAACTTCTCAAGCAAAATATAAGACCAGAAATTTACATAAAGTATCGCTGTGAATTTAACCTTTGATCTAATAACTTCAAATTTATTAGATGGCATTCACTGGCCATGGGCAAGTTTAAAAGACCTACAAGTGATTGATAGGGAAAGTTTTCTACACTGTGATCTTGACCATTGACTTAATCTTAGTGGGTGTCATCTACTCAAGTAATTAACAACATCCACACCAACACATTATAGAACAGTCAGACAAGCTTTCTGTTCCTTGTGGCTGGGAGATTGCCTTTACGGGTAGAAGCATCAAAATTGCAGGCGAATAAATGGGACCGAATTAATGGGGTCTATGCATCTCCTAGTTTTGCTTTGTTTGTAACAGCCGATGTTAGCAAAAATCATCATTCCTGTTTGGGCGCCATTATTTTTAACCTAAATTGTGTTGTCCAGCCGTAAAACCAAAACAACAAACGTAACCCGGAACTAGAAAGTCTAGGTGACTAGGACCAACTGACCCTCCAATCAATAGGGACCATCTTCTCTTCATCACGAGCCAACACACTAATTCGTAGGACTGTAAGGCCAGTATTCTTTAGTTATTGGCCGGACAAGTTTCTAGTGATCATGGCCTCGGGACTGTTTACCTTCTGACCTCAAAATCAAAAGGGGTCATCTTTTAGTAATAAAGCAACATCCACACAAAAATCTTTTGGCTGTATGAAAAGGCGTTTAGTGGTCAAGACCAGGGTGACCTTTAAACTTCTGGTCTCAAAAGCAATAGTAATCATCTACTTGCATAAGCATTGGCCCTGCTTAGTTACATAAATCATGTCATATTCCCTATCAAGTTATTCATCAATCAAGGAAGAGAACGGAAGATCTAGCCGACAAATTGACCATACACTTTTGCTTGTTTACAGACATTTTGGCATTGCACGACCTTGATTTTTTAAACTATGACCCACAAATTTAGACATTCAGTACAGTATTGGTACCTAGTCTGGATAGCGATCCAAGACCATCATAATCCTCTTGTCGCTCATCAATGTGTAGGAAGGCCAAATGATACAACCTAACACGCTAGAGTCATCGTCACATTGTAAATCCACCGCCTCATTGAACTTGCAAATGAAAGAGTACAGTATATAATGTTTTTCGAATTAAATTTAGAATATAGTAGATTTCACTATTAAGAATATAGTTTCAGATGTATTGGCATATCGGCATACCAAATACATTAATAATAATTTGACTATTTACAAATATAGAAAAGGATGACAAGGTTATCACAAATACATACATAGAATAGCATGTTGGCGACAATGATAGTTTACAAAACCATTGTAAGTAAACATGCATTTACTATAGATTACGTTCCCGGTTCGGTTATCAGTTTTATCATGTGTGTGACAAATAATTTCATAATATAGTAACATCACACCACTGTATTCATGGTGTTTCTAAACGCATATTTGTTCGTTTGATCCTTTTATTAGTTTACTATTTGCTGACTTACAGACACCGGTATTTCTATAACCATGGGCAGTGTTATTCGGAAGGAATTTAGATGGGCACATATTGGTCTTTGCCATGGCAATCGGGATAGCTTTGTTTTTGCTCAGGTATATTTTAATTAACATCTTTTAGATAAATAAAATTTATTAAGTGCAATTTGAATGCTTGTTGGAGAGACTGAGATAGTCAATTGTGGACAGATGCATTTCCATGGACAATTTGAAAATAAAAATTAGAGAGGGGGTGGTAAATGAGTTTATTAGTGTAATTCCTTAGTATAGGTATCACATTTTCACTGTATAACATATCATATTTACACACTTGTATCTATATAGTGTAATCATTTATCAAACGAAAGATAACATTCAAATCAATAAGTTCATTCGCACTATCTCCGTGGGCCTTTGGCATGTAATTTACAAAGATTGTATTAAACATTTTGCATGTAAACCGGTATAATTATAAATTCAGAATAGATTGAAATAGAGGTCAAAGGTCAGAAATATGGTTGCAAATTTCGGTATGATATTATACGTACAGGACAGTTTAGTGAAACATTGCAATGTAAAAGTGATTTAAAAATATCAAATGTTGATTAGATAAAACAGTTTGGTTTATCTGAAAGTCATGTAAAATACACATGAATTAGTTTTTGCCCATCATGCCTCATAAATGCTTTATTTTTATCTCTCAAAGGCGTTTTAATTTTGGTGTACTTTTATAGTATCCAAACAGTTACTCATTAGCTAATTACTTGAAGTACAGTTATAGTGAATTAGTCTTTTGTATGGAAGTCAAAATGCTACTTTGTTTACATTTGTTGCTACCTTTATAACAAATTATTTCACATTTATCGCTAACTTCTTGTAACGTATTTAAAAAACATTAATTAAACATTATAAAATTCATGTTTGCCCTTTCTGTATAAATTGAAATTTATTAGTACGTATTTACAAAATTAAATTGGTCAGACGCGGCGCAGCCGCGCGACCTATTTAATTTTGTAAATACGTACTAATAAATTATTTTAACCGGCTTAGTGTTTTAAATTATTTTCAAAAGCGTAAGTTCTATACAGATTGTAAAACTGTAAAAAAAGCTGAATGATTTTTTTCTCTCTTTAATTTAGTCGTATTAACCTTTGTCATCCCATATATTTGTCACTGTGATGAAAGAGATTCAATAACATTTTTTGTTTGTTTGTTTTTAGCTCACCTGTCACAAAGTGACAGGGTGAGCTTTTGTGATCACTTTTCGTCCGGCGTCCGTCCGTCGTCCGTCCGTCGTCCGTCGTCCGTCCGTAAACTTTTGCTTTAAATGACATCTCCTCATAAACCACTGATTCAATTTCATCCAAACTTCACAGGAATGTTCCTTTGGTGGTCACCTTTAAAAGTTGTTCAAAGAATTTAATTCCATGCAGAACTCTGGTTGCCATGGCAACCGAAAGAAAAATCTTCAAATATCTTCTTTTAAACAACCCTAACAGCTAGAGCTTAGATATTTGGCATGAAACATCTTCTAGTGAGTGTCTACCAAGTTTGTTCAAATAAAAGCCCTGGAGTCAAAATTGGCCCTGCCCCAGGGGGTCATTGATTTTCCCTTTATGCATATAGTAAAAACTTAAAAAATCTTCTTTTAAAAAACCCAAATAGCTAGAGCTAAGATATTTGGCATGAAACATCTTCTAGTGAGTGTCTACCAAGTTTGTTCAAATAAAAGCCCTGGGGTCAAAATTGGCCCCGCCCCAGGGGGTCATAGATTTTCCCTATATGCATATAGTAAAAACTTAAAAAATCTTCTTTTAAAGAACCCAAAGAGCTAGAGCTAAGATATTTGGCATGAAACATCTTCTAGTGAGTGTCTACCAAGTTTGTTCAAATAAAAGCCCTGGGGTCAAAATTGGCCCCGCCCCAGAGGGTCATTGATTTTCCCTATATGCATATAGTAAAAACTTAAACAATCTTCTTTTAAAGAACCCAAAGAGCTAGAGCTAAGATATTTAGCATGAAACATGTTCTAATGGGTGTCTACCAAATTTGTTCAAATAAAAGCCCTGGGGTCAAAATTGGCCCCACCCGGGGGTCATTGATTTTCCTTATATGTGTATGGCAAAAACTTAAAAATCTTCTTTGAAAAAACCCATATAGCTAGAGTTTAGATATTAAGCATGAAACATCTTCTAATCAGTGTCTACAAAGTTTGTTCAAATAAAAGCCCCAGGGTCAAAATTGGCCCTGCCCCGGGGGTCATTGATTTTCCTTTTTTGTGTATAGCAAAAACTTAAAAATCTTCTTTGAAAAAACCCAAATAGCTAGAGTTTAGATATTAAGCATGAAACATCTTTTAGTAAATATCTACAAAGTTTGTTCAAATAAAAGCCCGGGGTCAAAACTGGCCCTGCCCAGGGGTGTCATTGTTTTTAACTATATGTGTATAGTAAAAACTTAAAAAATCTTCTTTTAAAAACCTAAAAAGCTAGAACTTAGATGTTTAGCATGAAACATCTTCTTATGGGTGTCTACCAAGTCTGTTCAAATAACAAATAAAAAGCCCTTGGGTAAAAATTGGCCGGGGGGGGGGGCTATATACAGGTGAGCGACCTCAGGGCCATCATGGCCCTCTTGTTTATTTATTCTTGTTGTTGTTGTGTGTGTTTTTTGTTGTTTTTGTTTTGATATTTTTACTAATACATATAATACATTTCCAGTTCCAATAGTAGCATTAACTTGATGATTTAGCTTCTTAATCAATATACAGTAGAATTAATTAAAAAATTAAAACCATTATATAGGGTTTCTTACATTTTTAATATTTTTGCTTTATTTTAATCAAAGTTCTTTTTTCATTTGATACATTACAGTGGAAGCGGATGCACCCAATGTATTTGATCTATAGAGTACTGACCTCCGTCTACACGATCACGATTTTCTCTCTTATACTTACAAAAGATATGCATGACATCATGGCATATCTCACCACATGGACATATATTCTGTTGACACTTTACTTTCTTGTTTCCGCTTTTAACGCGGTGTTTTACACGTGCAGAGGACACGAGCGCCAGCTGAGTGACGTTGAGTCTACGGCGTGTGCGTTTGACAGATCTGAAACAATGGCCAAGCAGTCATATGATAATATAGCATACGTAAATACGGCAGCTAATGATCCTATACAAAGAAGTCACAGCAATAACATATCACGTGATGCATGCGACAGTGTAAGCAGTATGCACGAGCCAGAGAATCGGACGCTAGAGAACGCCAGTGTAGCAAACGATCGTGACATTACAATAACGATGAAAATTGCGTGGGTACTCGGAAATTCTATACAGGTCTTTGCAATTATAGTCTCCCTAATATACTTCATTGTTCTATTTCCACCAATAGGCCACACTGACTTCTGGGATGTCAATCTACACGGAGTTAATTCATTTCTTGTAATAACTGACACGTGCCTTACGGCGAGACCTGTACGATTGTTACACGTGTTCCATCCAATGCTTTACGGCGTGTGCTATGTTATATTTAGTGTCATTTATTGGAGTTATGACCACGTGAACAACGTGCTGTATCCAAATGTGTTGGACTGGAATTACCCTGGAACCACCATGATATGGGTACTTTCATTAGCTTTTGTAGCTATACCGTTGTTTCAATTGATATACTTCGGACTTTACCGTTTGAAATTACATATCTATTATCGTTACATTGAAAGAAATGTGTTGGAATAATAGTCGAATGTATGTTCACAAGTAGTTGTGAATAGTTTTGCCCACGGTGTTAAGAAAGAAAAAGATATTTCAGACACTGTCCGCCAGTCGATGTTTAAAATACTTGTTGTGAACGTAGCTATGTAGGAGCACATTTGTCTCGGAGAACATTTGTCTTACGTAAGACCGATGCGGTCGCATATGTCCCACATGAGACAAATGGGACCTCAAATGTCTACCCCAAAAAACTCATTTGTGTGACAAATGTGCTCCGATCAAGTTTTTTAAGGGACAAGAAAGCACATTTGTCTCATATGTTTTTAAGGGACAAGAAAGCACATTTGTCTCATGTCATTTTTATGAATTATTTGTCACACATTTCCCCACGTCAGAAACTATTTTTTTGAATCGAGGTTCGCTGTTTTACCTCATGTCAAGTATAATCATCAATAGGTTTGCTTATGCTTTCTTTATGAAAACCTAAAGTGAACTGTTAATTATAAAT